CAAAGTTGCAATATTTCTGTTTAATAGCTTCCACACTGCGATCACCTGCCCGCAGCTCACAAAGTTGCGATATTTCTGTTTAATAGCTTGCACACTGCGATCACCTGCCCGCAGCTCATAGAATTGTGATATTTCTGTTTAATAGCTTGCACACTGCGATCACCTGCCTGCAACTAATGGAATTGTGATATTTCTGTTTAATAGCTTGCACACTGCGATCACCTGCCTGCAGCTCATAGAATTGCGATATTTCTGTTTAATAGCTTGCACACTGCGATCACCTGCCCGCAGCTCACAAAGTTGCAATATTTCTGTTTAATAGCTTCCACACTGCGATCACCTGCCCGCAGCTCACAAAGTTGCAATATTTCTGTTTAATAGCTTGCACACTGCGATCACCTGCCTGCAGCTCACAAAGTTGCAATATTTCTGTTTAATAGCTTCCACACTGCGATCACCTGCCCGCAGCTCACAAAGTTGCAATATTTCTGTTTAATAGCTTCCACACTGCGATCACCTGCCCGCAGCTCACAAAGTTGCAATATTTCTGTTTAATAGCTTCCACACTGCGATCACCTGCCTGCAGCTCACAAAGTTGCAATATTTCTGTTTAATAGCTTCCACACTGCGATCACCTGCCCGCAGCTCACAAAGTTGCAATATTTCTGTTTAATAGCTTCCACACTGCGATCACCTGCCCGCAGCTCACAAAGTTGCAATATTTCTGTTTAATAGCTTCCACACTGCAATCACCTGCCCGCAGCTCACAAAGTTGCAATATTTATGTTTAATAGCTTCCACACTGCGATCACCTGCCCGCAGCTCACAAAGTTGCAATATTTCTGTTTAATAGCTTGCACACTGCGATCACCTGCCTGCAGCTCACAGAATTGCAATATTTATGTTTAATAGCTTGCACACTGCGATCACCTGCCCGCAGCTCACGGAATTGCGATATTTCTGTTTAATAGCTTGCACACGGCGATCACCTGCCTGCAGCTCACAGAATTGCGATATTTCTGTTTAATAGCTTGCACACTGCGATCACCTGCCCGCAGCTCACGGAATTGTAATATTTCTGTTTAATAGCTTGCACACTGCGATCACCTGCCTGCAGCTCATAGAATTGCGATATTTCTGTTTAATAGCTTGCACACTGCGATCACCTGCCTGCAGCTCATAGAATTGCGATATTTCTGTTTAATAGCTTGCACACTGCGATCACCTGCCTACAGCTCACGGAATTGTGATATTTCTGTTTAATAGCTTGCACACTGCGATCACCTGCCTGCAGCTCATAGAATTGTGATATTTCTGTTTAATAGCTTGCACACTGTGATCACCTGCCCGCAGCTCATAGAATTGTGATATTTCTGTTTAATAGCTTGCACACTGCGATCACCTGCCTGCAGCTCATAGAATTGTGATATTTCTGTTTAATAGCTTGCACACTGTGATCACCTGCCTGCAGCTCATAGAATTGTGATATTTCTGTTTAATAGCTTGCACACTGTGATCACCTGCCTGCAGCTCATAGAATTGTGATATTTCTGTTTAATAGCTTGCACACTGCGATCACCTGTCTGCAGCTAACGGTATTGCGATATTTCTGTTTAATATCTCGCATACTGCACACATTTCATGGCTATCTTTTTATTAACCAATCATAGTTCATAGCACTGTGAACCAATCAGCAACAAGCCTGCTAAAATTTGTTACGGTGGCTGATCCTACCTGAATGCTTGTTTTAGCTCGCGAGTAAATGTAACCTTTTCCAGTGACGAGTAATAGAAAGCTTTATGCTTGTTAGGATTGAGATAACTATTCTCATTCCCCCTCCCCCCCCCCCCCCCACACACACACACTGCCATCACCTGCCTGGAAAAATAGAATGGTGACATCCCAGTTAGCTTGCATATTTCAATCACTTACATCAAACAAAATTGCAATATTTCTGTTACCTTGTACATTGCATTCAACTTCATTGAGCCAACAGAATTGCAACACTTCTGTTACCTCGTGCGCCCGTGATCACCTCATTGTGCATTTATGTTTTCTGTATTAAAGTAAAATCTCGGCATCATACGATACTTATTTGTTAAAATTCATAAATACTGAAACAGACATATTATATCCATCATCACCCACTCATGAATATATCACTGGTGGCGATGGAGTATGATTCCAAATGTATGAGGCTGTATTGCCAGATGCTGTCACTTTTTTTAAGCTGAAGAATCTGCCAAGGTGTCTATTACACGTGTATTGATATACTGTTACATTTTGAATGATGAAGTCAACTTGTGACACTTTGCTTTCATAAAAAATTAACCTGTATAGTTGGCTAACTAACCTTAACACCTAACATTCCGACCAATCAGAGAGAAGCTTGTTTGTTGGCGTTTTTTTTAAAGTATCAAATTCTGTTTTGTATACTTAGTTTATGCTTCAACTCAACTGTTTCAGTATTTTTTTTATTGTTTGCCAAGACGTGTAGAAGATGGGAACTTTATTAATTTGATGAATTCAACCCTAAAAAAAAAAATCATTTCTCAAGCACCAAAATATGCTATTTTGAAAATTCTAGAGGAAAAGTAACATACAAAAAAATGTAATTCAAGAAATATATTCATTAACATAGTTGGGTTGTATGATTCTCGATGTACTTGTACCAGTTTTCTGATTCATAGCTTTGCTTTAAAAAAAAAGTTTAATATTTTTTTTTTTTTTTCAGTGTTAATAAAAAGATTGTGGCATTGAAAGAGATACGCTTGCAGGAAGAAGAAGGTGCACCATTTACGGCGATACGGGAAGCATCGCTATTAAAGGCTCTGAAACATGCTAATATTGTGACGTTACACGATATTATTCACACCAAAACAACACTAACATTTGTGTTTGAATATGTGGTGAGTAAGATTTATTTGTAAAGTCCCTCTTTGTCATCCCTGGGTCTCAAATATATACTGGGTATAAGACATTGGTGCAGTATACAGGTACATTATGTCTTGTCTCAGGAATGCCTTTTTTAATTACTTTAGATCAAAATGCAGTATTTTAAGATTGTAATATGTTTTTGGAGAAAAAAGTAGGGATCAGGGTTGGGATACACATAGGTTAGGGGTACATATATTACAAGGGTTTTCAGCAAGGTTTGGAACATTATTACAATTATTCACCAGTGTCATCTAAATCACAGCACATATCGAACTCTGCAACCCTGTTCTTCGCCAATGACAAATACGATATTTCACCAAATTTACATAAACTGTCAATATTTGTCAATACTGGAATATTTGTTTTGTTAATTTTTGCAAATATTCATTCCCAGAAATTATCGCATTCAGATAATATGAGAATGGAAAACTTAATTTCATGAAAGTCATATTGACACATGTCTTGAGACTCTCATTGAACCATGGTTCCCCGGACATTGATGTACATCATTTTGTTTTCCAGATCTGATTCAAAATGGCCGACTGGGGACCATTTTGTTTTTTACAAATGCTGTTTGTATCTCTGACATGCTTTAACCAATCATGTTCACACTTTATTTAAAAATCATGTCACACGTATGCAATGTATTTGTTTGATGGTTGCATTCAAGACGACTGAATGGTGTTCCTTTTAAAAATTCAGCAAAATCAAACGTTTCTGCCATTCAGGAACTACATGTAGATCTTCTGGTTGTGTATGAATAGATTTCATTCAAACATGGTACATATATTGAACATTAAAACTAAAAATTATTAATTGGTTTTCAGATTAAGACCTAGAAAAACTATAATGTTTCTGGTCATTACATGGTTAAACGAGTGCCTGCTATTGATTTTCAGTTTGTTTGTTTTTTTGAATTTCTGAAAAAATGAAAAAAAAACTTGTAAACTTGCCAATTTATGAGAACAAAAACAATCGTCTATAAATACTTATTTTATTTTTTTGGCCCTAACCTCACATGACTTATTCCTTGTCACATACCTGGTAGATGACATTAAAACATTATCAAACACTCTCAGCAAATTGTAGTAAGCATTGGTCAATCACTGATGGCATCAAGGCAACGAACAAATAATTGCATT